CCGAGCATTGAAAAAGGGGAGAAACTTTGTATTTGGGTGTGTTTTAGTTTTTTCTTTTCTTATGTTTTCCAGGCAAAGTCAGCTACCACAAAATATTGTCGAATTCAGTTGTATGATGTATCAAATTAAAGCTTTTTTAAGTTTCAAACAACATTATAAACGGGTTTTGATTTTTCGTCTAATTTTGAGCGAGTAAAGCAAGCAAGCAAGCAGGCTTACAATAATTTATTTATGCCAAATTACAGCAGATAAAAGTTATATTAACTCAGTTTTCTGCAGTTTTTGGCGCCATTTTGTGAATCCAAACGTCCAAAAAATCAAAAAAAAATTAATTGATTGTTTTTTTTTCAGTTGGTTGTTTGTTTACTATGACTGCCAAAAATGCCTACGTTCTAGTCTTTCAATCAGATCCTTTTTATACAACACGCAGAAAAATTGACATAAATTTGACAAAAAATTGTGTGTCTTAAGACCATAGTCGGAACATTCTGTACTATTTGCCCAGTAACCGACTATTTGTTTCGATAAGTAATTAGTTTTTAGTTTACTTCTGGCCTTAGCCGCTTTCACTCTTTTGGAGCGTTCGAACCATTTTTGTTGATTGAGTTCAAAAATTAATGCTAAATTAATGGCAATATTTTTTCGATCAACGAATCTGAGCAAAGATAATTAACCTAAAACCGCTGGCTCATTTTTACGTAGATTTTTCTCTTATTACTGATTTCCAAACTTAATAATGGCTTACGAAAAGCTAATTAACCTAAAATGTTATAATTTTTGACTGATTAAACTGCTCAAGGTCACTGATATTGCCAGCAAATTGTCATTAACGATATATAGTTGATGCCAAATTGTTGTTACTACCTTTTTGGTCAACAAAGCTGATTTCCACCGTGAAAACCGTGTCCAAAAAATAATTAACTCAACAGGCCGAAGTTTTGACCGCAGAAATTGCCGAAGGTTACCGAAATTGCCAACAGTTTGGCAATAACTATAGATCAGTTCTCAATTCAATCTCAATCTTTTTTCAATCTTCCTAATTAGAAAGTTAAAAGTAAACTATTTTAAAACTTTAAAATGGTGCAGCCAGCAGGATGACTAAGTAACTTGAACTTCAAAATTAAAAACCAATTGCAAATGATCATTCATTCATCGGATAACAACTGACGTTATATGCCATTGCTGAATCAAACCTAACCCTTGACTAACACATGCTACAGAGTCAGAGAAAATTTATTTGTTTTTATGTTTGGACGGAGCCAGGAATTTTGCTCATTTTTCCCAATATCTTTTGTCAAACCAATTTTTTCGTCAAATTCTTCATCAAGTATCAAGTATTCCTAAAAAATTAGATATTCTTAAAAAATCATGGAAAGTTAGTGTACTTGACTTGAAACATGGCGTCTTGAGTCGAGAGAGGGCTTCGTTGTGTCAATGTCAATGTTTGATTGTTTCCCGATAAATGAACAACGCTTCTAAGTAATTCATTGATCAATTCATTTTTTAACTAAACAAAAAGAAAGAAAAGCCAGCAGAAGCTTTAAAATTTTTCCAAACTATCTGAAATATTCAAAACACGTTGACAAAACACGGTTGTTTTTCTCTTCCGGTGTGATTGCCTGTAAAAAATATCGTTCTCTTCTGGCTTAAACAAAAGGGCAAAAAGTTAAAGGTATGTCGAACTGTCAAAAAATCTAAATGCATCTTGGTGGATCTCAGAGTGTTGCAGCGCAAATATAAAACAAGAGTATAAATGCATATAAAGTTGAACCAAAATGTAAATGCATATAGGGACAGTAGCCGAGCCATAATCCCGCCTAGGTCATTTCCTTTCTAGAACTCGAATATGCATCGAACTTGATGGGATGCTCCGTAACCAGGTTCGATCGCCCCAAAACCTATTTTAACCGTCTTTTTGCTCTAATTTGGTTCAGCCTTGATTAAGGCTGACCTTTAAAAAGAGCAATTTGTCTCAAGGACAAATACTGGCCATTTTTGCAGCTTGCTTTGAGTTATGCAGTTTTTTTGTGGCCGATCTTACCGATGATGAAATACGTTTTGAAAACTGTAAAATTATGGATTTCCAGTGTTAGTTTTGCCGAGAAAACGCTCTGTAATTCAACTGTTTAAAAGTCAATATTTTTACGATTCGGTTTGTGGAGATTTACGCGCACATTTTGGCGCCCAACGTGGGGCATTAGTGGTTTCTTGTGTGATTTAAAGAATTATAGTCTGTGTTAATGGCTGATTCTGTCCAGAAAATTTCCGACATTTTCTGAATCACCTTCGATTTGTTTGCTGTTATTTTGCCGATACAATTTCAGTAAACTGACACTTTTGGGACCCTTTTCTTGACTATAGAAAACCGATCTACTCTAACATAGCTCTACTCTAAAACCGAAACCGCACCCGAGTAAAAAACGCACGATACGGCTCCTAGCGTTACGGCTTCTTCCTATAGAACGGAGGTGCGCCACTACGTTACCTTCTTGTGGATTACCTCTTGAACTAAGGAGAGACGCCCCCGTCTCAGAATAATCCCGAAAGGGCCAAACGGAGGCCTGTTCAGGTGTCGCGTTTTGAGGAGCTATGCTCTGGTGTCGGATCTTAGAGGCCTGATCAGGCGTCGTGTCAATCGCAGAGGCCTTTATACAGGTGTCGTGTTTTGTCTTCAGAGACGAAAGAGCAGACAGACGAAAGAGCGGACTGGCGGAAGAGAGAGAGGCCTGTTCAGGTGTCCTGATTGTTGACTTTTGGTCAAAGTGGAGCTGTGTTTTTCTCGACACCCGAAGTTTTGGATTTTTCCCCGGTGTCGTCAATCTCCAAAACCGTCAAAAACTGTAAGACTAATCTAGTCTTTATAAATTTTTTTGTGCTATAAAATTATATACGGTGTCTTATTGTGTATCCCAACTCAAAGCAAGCTACGAGTGGTAATTTTCCCGATACCACAAATTTTTGGGTAATTGTGAACAGATTGAAAATCCGTGAAATCGGATCATAGACCAGAAGTACTAGACTAGTTTTTTGGATTGGTTTATGACTCGAACCTGCTGACCAAAATTTTCCGAAGAATTTTGGGTAAAAAGTAAAAAATTGCCAAAAATTCCTCAAAACGTCCCCATAATTCTGCGAAACTGAGCTGTAACTTGACACCAACCTTATGGTAAGTGGTCTGGTAGCGAAATATCAGGCAAATTAAGTAAATTTTTTTCATCCTCAGGTTTTTTCCGCGTGTGTTGTTGGAACTTAACCAATTTGCCTGATCCCCCACCCACATTTGTGAAACTGAAAGCCAGTGCGCTTCAAGTAAATATAAGCCGTTTCAGCCCGTCCGATAATTGACTTCGTTGCGCGACACTAATGTTATGTTGTCAGGTACGGTGATATTAAGTGAGTTAAGTTGAATTCTTTCATCCTCAGGTTTACTCCATGTGTGTTGTTGGAGTTCATCCGACCTACTCAATTTCCCCACCCCATTGGTACTTTAGCGTAACGTAGCCGCCGCATAGGTCTCTTGAGTGTATGGTATTCATTCTAGGAGCTAGTTCCTTGGATCACTCGCTCCGTATACTATCCGCCTCGTCTCAAAAGCGCGTGAAAGAGACTTGTTTCACAAAGCCCGGCTTAAGCTTTAACTTTAACGCCAGGGACTCGCAGAAAACTATCCAATACTATCTGCATCACTTTTTGCCGAATCGGAAAGATCTAGTTATTTGGCACGACGCCATAAATAACTCCATTAGTAAGCACCGTAGTAACAACAACCGTAGTTTGAGTACTGACCAACTTAAGAGCCTTCTTTTGAGATACAAGGAGAATATTACCGCTATTGTATACTGTCGCCGCAACGGTACGGACAATATAGAACAAGAGTTGAAAAAGACAGGTATTCTCGTTCTTAACATAGTTGAGGATTTTATCTCAAAGCCAAAGGCCAAAGACCAAATACTTATCGAAAAGTATAAAGAGCTGCACCAGCCCCCTTCCCTTGAGTTGAAGACTCTGTTAATACTTAGACGATACAGTGCTGACCTAAGTACACTGAAAGCTAAGAAGAAGCGGAACCGATTGTCGCCTAAAAATCGTAGAGCGATTCACAATAGATTTAAAGCGTTAAAACTTCAAGTTACTCCCCCTTGTAAGTTATTGATGCAATAGAAAAATTTGAGGATTTACTTGAGTGAAAATAAAGTATTTTCTAAGAGTCGTTATTTTCTGAAATTTTTAAGCATGGAAGTTCAGTTTCAAAAGAAAATTAAGAAGTTGTTTGAGAAACGTAGCAATCTCGAAAACGAACTTTATAAATGCCACGAAATAATTTTGGAATACATAGAGAGTCAGAGTCGTTGCTCAAAAATTGATACTTATATTGAAAAGTGTAGGAACTATATAGAACAAGCGGTCAAGATAAATACTGAGTTGATTGACATGGCTGCAAAAAGTGCCAATCCCGACGAATTGATACCGGCACAGGATATGTGGCTTCATACGTTGACTCAAAGCAACGATAAATTTCTGCAGGAAGCTATCACATATAAAACAAGTTTTGAGGCAGTAACAGAGCCGG